TCTTTTAGTGTGGGTCTACCGCGAACGATGTGTGCATATTTTGTATGCGTTTTGAGCGTATTATACACAGTGTCTGTGCTGATTTCGCACCGCGAAAGCTACTCATCGTCCGCCATTACACCATGCCATGTGCTTATTCCTCAAAACGTCGCGCATGCGTTAGAGTCAAAAGTAATATGCCAGAAGCTGTGAATGGGAGTTAACCGCAGCGTTGTTAAAAGATCGTTAAATCAAGTGCGTAAACCGTGACATAATAAGGAAGCGTGCTATAGCTTTTTCAGATTTTCGACAGAAGTATCCAGCCAGCTTGACCGAACAAGCTTGGTCAATAACGGATTTACTACACTAGCACACAGATTTCGCTTTCAAAGAATCAAGAAAGACTCAGTTATTTCGAGAGCTGGGATATAGAGAAAGCCATGCGGAAATGTTTGTAGCACAATAAACCCAAGAGAGTTGAGACAATAGTGTCGACATAGCCTTACTCTACTAAAAACAAAAATTTATTTCGAAATGAATTTTTGCGGGAAAACCGAAGTGATTTAAGAGAGAGAAGAGAGAAATTATATATTTTTTCTTTTTATCGGCTGAAGGTCGTGACCGAAGAGATACTGCCCGGCCGGCAAAACAAAAATGTTTATGAAAATTCATAAAGGCGACTCAACACGCGACGGCTAAGAATTCATAGAACCTGTACGCTCACGTACTCGTAGAAAAAATAATATCATGCGCGAAATTGTAGGGGTGGAGGGATTTCCCTTTCATTTAAATCGTAATCTGATTTGTTAATTTACCTAGTAACATATTTAGCCATCTCTAATCCCTATAGAAGCAGCCATAGCTTCAAAGACTGTATTCGATTCGTAAACATTAATTTAAGAACACTCAAACCATCCGTTCGAGTGGATTCATCTTCGTTCCGCAGCGAACTTTCGAAGGGAGGGAAATGAGAGCAGCGGCGTTCATGCTTCTGAGTTACTTTTGGAAAGTAAACAAAGCAAGATCGTTAAGCCCACCCACTCGAAGACAAAAAAATACACCCAATCAAAAAATAGAGGGGAGGGTTTCCCTGTCATTTAAATCGTAATCTGATTTGTTAATTCACCTAGTAATATATTTATCCACCTCTAATCACCACAAAAGCCGCATAGCTTCAAAGGCTGTATTCGATTCGTAAACATTAAGAATACTTATACCATCCGCTCGAGTCGAATCCTTTTCGTTCCATAGAGGAGATGAACTTTCGAAGGGAGGGAAATGAGAGCAGAGGCGTTAATTCTTCTGATCCACTTTTAGAAACTGAACGAAGCAAGATCGTCGTGAAATACAAATTTCCCCTTTGCCGCCACGTTATGGCTGTTAGAGAGGCACTGCACGCTGAATATGGTCAATTACTTTGTCCAAAATGTGTGACACGGACTACAAGGTATAGCTTATTTTACAGGATTAATTTTTTAAAATTTTATGAGGTTGCTTGTTTCTATGATTCTTGTTAAGCGCATGCGACGAGAAACAAGGACGCTTGTTTTGTTCGTTTTTAGTTCCTTAGATTGAAATTTTCAATTCCCTTAGCTCTCACAAGTTACTTTTATTTGGATTTATTTTACGAAAAGTCACTTTCTGTAAAACGTTTTGGGTCCTGACATGATACAAGCACCGTCTGTATCTTGGATTTTGTCACCGCAATACTTCGAACAAATTCGAACCAGTTTGAATTCGCGCGATAATCGCCATTGATTTACACACAAAGCGATATTTCAGAGGGACCTCCGCAACTAGTTGTCACAAGTGTTTCGTAAAGTTCAGGCTTTAACCTTTCAATCTCGCCCTGAGATTTGACAAGCCAAAAATGTATGTACATCCGGAGTTTGACCGCAAGTTTTTATTTACTTTTTGCCAGCTAAGCACAATGTTCAGTTCGAGTTGGAGGCGGTATGGAGGTGTGTCGGAAAAATTGGCTAATGACCGGAACTGCCACAAACGTGTCCAAAGGTCGTGTTCTTAAATAAATGACTATGGGAATTTGTGAATAATTCCACCAGTTTCGATACCGCAAATTTCAAAAGCCACCCTGGGATAAGAGCTTTTTTCAAATTACGCAAGAACAAAACCCTCCATTTGTGCCGCGTGTAGACATCGCGTTAGTCAACACCTTATTCCTGAAGATCTGAACGAGATACTTATCAAAAGACAATCGTGCACTTGTAGACACTTGTGGCAATTTTTATCAGCAGAATTTGTGAAAGGGGGTTCTGTTACGAGGTATGTTCGATCAAGAGCGGGCTTGCTTATTCTTGGTGTTTTCTTTCTCATCACAAGGATTGCACTAATTGCATTAATTTATTCACGTCTTAAATCTTGATTGTTCGATCCACCCCCGAACACACCTCTTGTGTAGGCCAATTAGAACCGATCTTGTGCGCAGCTGTCAATCTGATTCGATCTGCATGAGTAAGGATGAGTTTCATTCTCTGAGACCGTACGCTCGGTTGTTCACATTTCAAAACAACTTTGATATTATATTACTCGAAACAATTTGTTCATATAGGATGTGGTTAGACTCATAATGGAACTGAGCACATTCAGCAGGTCTGCAATATCGAAAATAACGACTAAACGTATTGAGCTTGCTTGGTTTAATTGAGTTCATATTACTCAACGTCCAACATGATTTATGAAATATTTTCCAGTAAAGCGTTACACTTAAATTCGAAAATTTGAATCGAAATCTCTGATCCTTAACTATAACACATGAAAGCGGGCTCTGTCATGAAAATGAAGTGAAAAACTGCTTCTTCGAGAGAAAATGTGTTGTGGTGTCTTGCTCAAATCAAATTACTTCTTTCAACCGAGAACGTTGTTAACTTGATCGCATAGATTTTGCTACACTTGTCCAGTAGAATAAGTTCGATCGTCAAGAGGACCCAGCGGGAGTGTTTTGTAGATAGCTATGAGAGAATTATGAAAGTTCTAAGAAACGTAAACTCGTTTTCCAGTATTAACTATGGCACCAATCATAAATTTGAAGAAACTGTTACGATCTTTTAAGAGGTCAAACTTCAAGGCAAACCTTGTCAATCCTCCATCATTACGTATCTATACAAACGGAAGATATGTCTCGATAAAAAGCAAAAGCTACAGTGGACGTTTACTAAACTTCCAGTTATAGCATTAACCCTTCCCGTAATTACAGCCGGAAACCAGTAGGCTGCAGTGTTTATCAATTATTTTCATGAGCACGTCAGAAATGTTTAGCTAAGGAGTTATTCTACTTCAACGTTTATGCCGTTGACAAATTTTCAAACTGGCAAACGAATGATGAATCCATCTAATCAATGATACTGCTTCATTGCGTTCTCATATAAATGCGCAAACAAACTCGTCTAGCCATCACCATAACAAATGATTCACCTTGAAATAATCTGACAAGTGAAAGATCTCTCAGTCCCGACATCGGGCCCAGCTGACCCTTGAAACTTAAAATTCAACGTTTACGCTTTTTTCAAAGTTTCAATTACGATGGAACAAATCTAAATCTACTTTGCTTCGTTGCCTTCTCATAATAACTATTGCGTTGACGAATTCGTCTATCACCATAACAAATGATTCACCTCGAAATAATCTAACAAAGTGGATGATCTCTAGGTCCAAAAATCAACCCAAGCTGATCCTCGAAAGTTAAAATTGGCGATTCAAAAGGTGACCAGAAGGTACAGTGCTGAATATCTATATGTAAGATCGATGCACATACCTAAAATCTGTTCACCAGAGCATCATAAGAGGATTGATTCACTTTAAACCGAACAGAGCTGTACTATACAGCTGTTCTCGTAAGTTTCAAAACTTTGCACACGTTAAAGAGATAACCCATGATAACAAGCAGTTTTCCCGGAATTTAAACCTAATTTCTCTGTTGATATTACCGAGAGAAGCTGGAGGCACAAAGATGTTCAAAAGCGTGTTAAGACTGTTAAAAATTATGGATTGAAGTCACTCAGAATTTGTAAGGATAAACAGAAGAAGCGAAACGAGGAAGATAAATTGGTTTTTCCCGAGAAAATGTGAGGTCGTGTTCTGTACAAATTTTTACGTCTTTTGCTGAGAACATTGTTAATTTTATCGCAAAGATATTACTACAATTTTCCGGTAAAATAAGTTCGATTGTAAAGAGGACTTAAAAGTATTTTGAAGTAAGCTCGTTATTCCGTATTAATCATGGCAACAAACACAAATATTACGATTCTTTGAAAGGTCACGATCAAACGCAAACCTTTTCAAGACTCCATCATTTGGTATCCTTACAAACATGAGATATATGTTCCAGTAGAAAGCGAAAGTTGCAATAGTCGCACGACGCTTTTAACAATAGCATCATCCCTTCAAGTCTAATTACAGCCGGAAACTTAAAGGCCACCAGGCCACAGTTTTTATCATCTATGTGAGATCGATGCACATACCTAAATTCCGTCCACCAGACCGTCCAAAGAAAATTGATCCGCTGTAGATAGAAGAATGAGTTCCACACGAGAGCTCGAGGTGGGAGCGAAGAACGCTTGTCCAATTTAGCTTAATGAAACTAAACTCCCCTTGTTAGCACTTGCTTTAGAGGACGTTGATGTTGTTTCCTGACGGAGTAACATCCAAGGACTAATTTGCCGTCAAGAGAAACTATTCACACGTCTCCATCCAGAATGTTGTTGAACAGGCCTAGGTCGATTTCAATATCAGGAGTGAGTATTGTTCCTGCGCAGATTGCGTGACTCGCCTTAACCAGTATTACTGGTTGTGACCTAAACCAGTGACACTGGTTGTGGCCTAAACTAGTAATTCTGGTTGTAGTCGAAATCAGCAATGCTGGTTGGGGCCTCAACACCGTGTACACGATTTCCGCATTTATTGTCGTGCTCTGCCGAGGCGCTGTACAAATAACACATCAAAATCCCGTCGGTTAAACATTTGTGACTACTTGCAGAAGCAAAATTCTTATAATTTGTTCCATTATGAGGTATGTATTTGTAAGAGTTAGCTTAGGTATCCGAGACAAAACTTTCAAGTTCTTCCTTATCTTATTTCTCATTACAAGATTTCGATGATGCCCCCAGAAACTCTCCCTTCTGTCACGAAGGTTTTTCTCGTCTCATCATTCATATTTTGCGTCTGTGATTTTTATATTGAACTTTATCTTTAAATTGCTACCGAATTACAGACAGCTTGCATTTGAAATATACTCTTCTTTTTGAAATCTAGTCCACGCTCGTGACAAGACGAAAAAACATCTTTCTCTTTTTCTTTACGGAGCTCAAAACTTACCATCTTCCTTATTTAATAATTTTATATAATTTGAGACTACTACCTCAAATTACTGGGCGCAGAAGTGCGTTTCCGGCAAAAGGAAACCAATGCTATTTATCAACAATTTTAACATGACATTGCATAAAAAATACTACTGCGCGTGAGGAGTGCGTTTCCGGCAAAAGAAATGCGTTTCCGGCAAAAGAAATGCGTTCCCGGCAAAAGAAAACCAATGCTATTCATCGACAATTTTTACATAACATCGCATAAAATATATTACTGAGCATAGGAAGTGTGTTTCCGGCGAAAGAAAACCAACGCTACGCATCCACAGTTTTATAAAACATTGCATAAAATATATTGCTGGGCGCAGAAAGTGAGTTTCTGGCGATCATCAACAATTTTTTAAAGAAAATTGCAAATGTAAATGTCCCATTTATCGCCACATTATGGCTGGCAGAGACGCTTTGCGTAAAAAAAATTGTTTCCAAATGCATAACCCGGCTGAAAGGTAAAAATATTTTATAACATTCATTCAGTAAAATCATTTTTGATGATTGTGTTTGCGGTTCTCGTTCAGTGCACGCGTTGATCTAAGAACTCCTTTTTCCGTTAGTTACAGAATGGAAATAAGGAAGCCCTAGCTAATTAGCTTATTGCCCTCACTCTTGGTCAGTTTACAAGAATTTCGAAAAACTAATTCAGTGGTTCTTTTTTTTCATACGATAGTAATTAACGATTCTTTTTATTCTCATTTAATTTTACTAAACGTTTCTTCCTTACTATTCCAACTGTACTTCCGGCACAAAGTCGCTCGATTTACCAGAGAAGTTAGATGTAATGTTTCACCTGAATCACTCAGTGATACGACTCATTCAGTCGATAAGATTTTGCTTTTTATGAAATGTATATGTCTGACTTACCTCGAAATAAGCTTTTGCCTGATTATTTTGTTGTTTAACCCTACTACCTGTTCAAACTTTACACGCCTGGGTTAGACCTATCAAGCTGCTTGCATTCCTCGTTCCTACGGACCGAACAAGGGAGAAATATCTTTGGACGAACCCAGTAATATCATCTGTCGAAATCAAAACGACATGATTTTCCCTTTTTCTTGCAGCTTAAGAAATAATGATTTTTCTGCTGAGGAATTGGAACATCTTGATACAAGGTATAGTGATGTTAGTCGGTTGTTAGATTAGATAATTGTTGTGTACTCGAATTTCATCGCAATCTATCGCCCATAATGTATCTCTTTCATGGATTAGCCTTGGTGGAATGAATGATGGCAAAATCAAATTGACTGAAAAACATCGAAGGAACTGTCCGCTCTGATATCATGGACTGAATTGGGTAAAGTTGATCCAGATGAATTAGAGTTTTAGACTTGTTTTGCGTTTGGAATTCGTTCAAATCCGGCGCATAGGTAAATTTGTGTCCTTTAAAAAATATCATTATATTGCAACTGTAAAATTACCAGTGTTTCTCTTTTAACGCATGAATCTCAGTTTTTAGCACTGCGGTAAAAAATTTCATTGAGACTTATATTGATGGTGTGCAGCGAGCTAAAACTTTGGTTACTTTGGCCGAAATGAACGAAGGTGACAATGTCATTTTCAACAGCAGCTACGCGGCAACAGTACTGATCATTCGCGCCTGTAAGCGATCACAACCTTATGCTCTCGCTCACAGGAATATCGTGCATTCTAAAGAAAATCTGCCAGACTCGGCTGAGGCCAAAAACAAGGGAGCCCAATTACCCTCCTTTAATGTGGATAAAGGGGAAACCATGAAATAAGATTGTAACAAATTAGTGACTGGAATTCTACAAAATTTAGAATTACGTCGGTAGAGATACATCATGATACAACAATGCTGAGTTACGAGGTTTTTATTATAATATTTATTTACTATCTTTTAAAGGTCTAATGATCCAAGAAGTTCCGCAAGTAATGCCGAAACCTCAGACTCTGAGGTAAGTTCAGACAACGCAAATGTTCGGTTCGATTGATTATGTGACGTAGTCTAGAATGACACTGTGACTGCAAAGATTTATTTGATTTCCTAAAAAAACTGGAGAAGAAGTTTTAGGAATAAACAAGGGCAAAAGTGAAATGTGGCAAACTTTGTGGGTCTTCTAGATCTCTAAGGGACCATTTAAACAAGAGCTGTTTCGAAAGATGGAATCATTTTTTATTGTAGGGTAGCGTCCTCGTCTCGGAAACATTAGGAAGAAAATCGCGTTTTTTATTTCTCTAGTTTACAGAAGTCAGTCAGGGCCATGCTACAAGCAATATGTGTGCACGTAACAACCTGACTGAACCGTCTACGGACAACGTGGCTCTCGAAGAAGGACAACAGCCAAACAATCAGCAGTCTGATGTTGAAAAGGCCAGTGGTTCAACTACTCCTAACGAGGAGCCCGACCGGACTGTCAGTCGCAAGAGGACTGATTTAGAACAACCAGGAGGTTACCAGATGCTACATGAAGGACGACATGCTACAGGAAGTGATGAAATGTCTACTTCCATTCAAGGAAATGAATCAGTCAGCACTATGACATTTAGTGAAGAATGTCGCCCTGTTTCAGAAATGGATCTCATCGCAGGTCGACCTCAGTCACCTCAGCTGGGTACTGAAGATGCTTCAGGCCATTCTATCTGTAATGGTGGAGATGGTAATGCTCTCCCTCAAGGAGACCAAGTTGAACTGGTTGACAGGATGGAGAGACCGGAACATCAGCCTTTTCCTCTGCAGGAATGTGGTATCCAAGTCAATGTGTTGAGTGTACCTATTCAGGAGACGGAACTATTCAGATCACAGGAGTTAGGTACTCGCCAAACATTTCATCAGGGTTATACCTGGAATCATCCCTTGCAGGAGATGGAGCAGCCAGCTTTAAGACGGCCACGTGAAACTTCCGGCTTGCTTGCTTGTCACCAGCCTCGTGATGATGACTCCATAAATGTAGTGAGTTCTGTGGGTAGCATCCAACAGCATATTGAGCATGGCTGTGAGCGCCAAGAAATAAGATTATGGCAAGGGCAACTTGATAGGCTAGTATTGCATCAGTTGAAGACTAACATTTTTGGCACTTTAGATGAAAGGATTTTTTTACCGTATTGAAAACACATGCGTGACTTGGGCGTCAGTTCGATACCATAAATACTATTTGGAAGGAAAATTATTCCACACGAATTTTGAATTGGAGAAAAAGCCACCACGAATTTGTTGGTTTCATCAAGATCCCCGGAAAGTCGGTTTGGTATAGCCAGCTCGTTTAAACAAGAGAAGCTGCTTTACTTATAGATAAAGTATCAAAATATCTGTCTTACAATAATTTACTGAAGACACTAACGTAATTTCAGTCATGAGTCATGTTATGTTTAAAAAGGAAACGAAATATGTTTCGTTTTCCCTAAAATCTGTAGTGGTTTATTTACAGGTCTGCTTCACAAAAAGCCATAAGGAACAAACAGAATCCTCGAGAGACTTATTTCATAGTGAAATATACAAACGTTGAGCAGTTTCGCCAGGTTGGCTTTCCTTTTTCTTTCTAATATGTCATTACAGTATTTCTTTCTTTTAATTGATTTAAGCAGGAAGACACAACACTTTTTAAAGTAACATGTTTTGCCAGTTTCTTTTCTTACGTTTCATTTCTATCTAATTTTAATACCGTCAGGCCGATGACAACGGATTGGCACCAGCTGTTTTCGGTCCCGCCATTGACTCCGATAGCTTTGAATATAAGTTCGGGGTAAGGATGTATCCCAATGGAGTTGGTGACGGAAGAGGCAGGTATGTTGCCATCTTTGTCCACATGATGGAGGGTGAGCACGATGATTTCTTAACTTGGCCTTACGCTGGAAGAATTACTTTGTCAGTTTTGGATAGAAATGGACAAAGGCACAACGACATCAGCCACACTTTGCAAGCTAAACCAATGTTAGCTACTTTTCAAAGGCCTCGGGAAGCCATTTGCCCTATTGGATATGGCCTCATTTACTTCGCAAGGATAGAACTGTTCTTCGGTCCTCAATTTGTAAAAAACGATGAACTGTTTTTGAAAATTGATTTTTCATCAAAATGAAAAAACAAAAGTGAATTTCTGAATATTCGTAGAGTTCCTAAGAACATTATACAGTGGCGAAAACGTGAAAAAGCTATACCACGCTTCCTTATTATGACACAGATTATTCACGTGATTTAATGTTTCTCTTACAACGCTTCGGTCAACTCCCACTCACAGCTCCCACCTTAATCGAAAATACTCACACGTAAACATCCCGTTGTAAGCACGCGAAACAATGCCATATATGGGGCGATAAAACAAGTGCCGCATATATGTTCGTTTGGTTATTTATAGATAAACGAAATCACTTATAAATGTCAATCAATAAAAATAATTAACGTTTCGCACAGTTTCCCACAACAGTAAAGTTTTTGTAATCAGTTGAGAAGTCTTGCTTACGAAAATAGTCTCCAGCATCCACATGAACACTTTCTCTCTGAACTTCATTGCTTTCGGAATAGAGTATTATTAACTATTCATTCTGAGCTCGAAAAAGTCTCTCTAAATCGGGATGGAACGAAAATAAAACTATCGTAAAAGAGGCGAACCTCGTGGCTAAAGTGAACGAATAGTCTTAGCTCACGTTACGACTTTGCACTCGAGTTGCTTTAAAAATTCACTCTCTTTCAGCCAATCAGAGGTGTATAATATTTTTATGTATTTTTATCAACTGAGAATAAGGACTTCGCATGGCCAGACGTCGTGTTTATGGACAGTAGACTTTTCAAAGGAACGGCAAGCATTTATTTTTGTCGCTAATTGCTGACAAGTGCATAATGGCAGCTGTCGTAATTCAACCAATCATGAATCGAAGCTTGGCTATCGCTCAATATTAAAACCCTACCCTCGTTGCTCTGCCGGAAGTGTAATCTTCATTCTCACACCCCATAATGGAATTAGTATTCTAAGCGACTAGCATTGGGACGCGGGTATGATACAAGATAAAGTTGCGTCTAAAGAAAACGATCAAGGTGTTGCTACTACGGTTTAACAACAAAGACTTTACTTCAAGCGGAGATGTTTCACGGCTATGCGCAGGTAATCATGAAACATGGAAAAATAGCATCTAATGAAGTATATGCGCTATTTACTATTTTGAAGGATGATATATCGGTCGGCAAAGTTTCTAAACAAGTAAATAAGAGCGGATAGCTACAGCTACAAGGCATTTGTGCTGGTTGTTGAGGTCATCAAACAGGACATGCACAGCAATTCTTTGAGGTATTTTATATCATCTCAAATCAAATAATCAATACACATACTTGAAAGCTTGTATTCCTGTTTTCCTAAACTTTTGAATCCAACAACAAAAACAAATAGAGAGCTGCTCGCGGAAGCCTGTGTAGTCAAATCAAATTTGATCTCGGCTCCAGTTGGCCATTCGCATCGTATCTACGTCGCCAGTAAAGCAATATACACCATTTTCCCAGTGTACAACAACGTTTTCACCGAGGTTAGCGGCTTAAAATAGTATTTTCCTGGAAGATTAAAGTGTAACAGAGTGTAGCATATATTTCATACTTCGTCACTAAATACTGATAATTACTAACATATTTCATGCAAATTAGCTTGTCGCTAAATACTGACAAAAATACAAGCGCAGAATAGCAGCTGTCGGATTCAACCATGCATGAATCGGGGCGTGGCTATCGGTCATATAAACCTCCGTCCTTTTTGTTCAGGATCTATTCTATTATTGGTATTCTACGCGACTTAACGAGAAACACGCAAGATCGGTACGAAGACCAAGCAACACCAAAACCAAGACCAGCAGAAATCAGTTTTCATTCTTAAGCGTCATTTTGATTGAAGAGATGGATCCTGACAATGGTTTAGCGTTGGAACGCAGATATGATGGAAGGTAACGTTGTGCTTCAGCCATTTATTATTTAGGAGAAAAGATGTTGGCACTTGTAAAGTAAAGCAAGTTTATCGTGCCTTTCAATTTTAGCTCCCAAAAATGTAATTTTTGATCTGCGTCTAACCAGTCCTGTAATCGCTCGTTGGGGAATAAGCTCAGAAAAATCCCTGTAAATTCATTTTAAAGAGTGTGTTATCGAAATTTTTCACGTTACATTGATGGAAACAACCTTAACATTAAGTTAGAACTCAGTGCGATCTGTGGAGATATCGAGATTATTAAAATGAACATGGCTCGCCCCATGTAAAATTTTATATGTGATAAAAAATTGAATACACTATAGATTGCAATAGAGCTTGGTTATTCGAGAAACACTAAATATTTTGGCATGATTTTGGCCATTAGCAACCAAGCGCATCTCTATTATCGCCATGCAGGGTTTTTGGAATCGAGACTCGTTTATTGACACCCCACTCGAACTACAAAATCATTATCGCATTTCATGAAAATAGTTTTGCCCATGCTGCACGTTAAAGCTCGGGGCTAACTTTTAATACAGCAAATAGATTTGAAAGACTCGACGAAAATCTTAAGCAACAAAATTCCTGTTCTGATTATTTCTGCATCAACGCTTTTCGTATGTGTTTCGGTTTCGATCTTCTTTAAACGCAAAATTCAAAACAACTTGACCATTTAAAGATCTCTTAATAGCAACAAAGAAACTTTAAGCTAACTTGACTTGTGCCGAGAATTCTTCGACGATTTTTTTTCAAGTCTGAGGGTTCGAAGAGCCCAGTATGGAGAGTGAAAACCAACGGCACATAAAAACGATTTAGAATTCTGTCAGCCGTGAGAAAGAGACTGAGCTAAGAAGTCAAAGTGTAACAAGACAATCTTGTTTTATCAACTGAGTTGATAATGCAAATTGGCCATCGTGAAGAGTCTTTAATTAAAACTACTATTTCGAGCGTTAGCCCTTTGTCGTAGTCTACTAGCATTGAATTCTCTATGTTTCATTTTGGTTTTCCTTCATCGTAGTTGTGTCAATAAGAACAATTTTTACGGTTTGTTGATTGCGGTGTATCGAAATCTGTACCGCTAATCTTTGTCTGACTATGATATCCAAACAATTCGCCTAGATATGTTGTACATAGCTGTCAATCTTATTCGATCTCCACGAGCTGGAGAGCGTCATTCTCTAAGACCATACACTCAGTTGCTCACATTTCAAAGCAACGGTAAAAAGCTCTCTTGCTCGAAACGATAGTTTTAAATGGGATATGGACACAGAATACATTGAACAGGTCTGAAATATTGAAATAAACGACTCAACATACTTAAGCTTGCTTGGTTTAATTGCCTTCAAATCACTTAACGTTCAACATGATTTCTGAAATGCCCCAAACGTTTTGGCAAACCATAATTGGTTTTCCTATTGCAAATTTATAGACATGAGGTAAAAATTATGGTACCTTGTGCCTGAGTATTACAGCGACCGGCGCTTTATGCTAAGAGATCTCTCACCGAAGCAACTGTAATAGTTCCGAAGTCATCAGACGATCTCGTTAAAAACTTGTTCCGATCCTTAACTATATCATAGGAAAGCAGGCTCTGACATGTCACGAATTACCATTTCGTCATTGAGAAAATTTCTGAGACGGAAACATTGTTTAATTCGTCGTCGATCTTAAAATATGAATCATTGCTCTATTCCAGTTCGCAGAAGCTCGTATCTACTGTTTGGTTCATTTTTGTTTGGTCAGTGCAGCATAATATTTTTCTTTCAGTGTAGCATGATATTCTCTTTTCAAACTGTATCATCATCAAAATCAGTTAATAATTACATGCTTGTTGATGCTGATTTGTTCACGAGTCTAAATAATTGGTGTAGTCCATGAAAATCCTATTCGGAAATTTGGAATACACTAGAAGTTTCGGTTTTAAAGTGTCAGTCTAACGGAGACAGCGCTCAGTTGTTACTATGATTGACATATGCTAATATATTGCAGCGCCTACGCGTGTGATTCAACCAATCATGAATCGGGCTTCGTTCTAGTTATACCTCTGCTTTCGAATATGCTGAGAACACGAACGACCAAGACCAGCAGAGATCAGTGTTCATTCTTGGGCGTCATTTTGATTGAGGTGATGGATCCTGACAATGGTTTAGCGTCGGAACGCGGGTATGATACAAGGTAAAGTTGCGCTACAGTCATTCACTTATTTAGGAAATAGAGAATAAATACGTTGGCGCGTCAGTATATATGAAAGTTTATCTTCGAGTGTTTAACTGGATAGCTTATGAATGAGCGCAGCGAACAAGTGAGATGTCGAGTGGAAAACGAGAGGAGAAATTTCATATCCACAAGCAACCATATGCTTGTATTATTTTTGTTTATCATATAAACACAGTAGCCCTTTACTGACAAGAAAAGTCGACTTTATTGATGATTGAAAATAAAAGGATCGACAATCCCCGAGTAACAATTGTAAGCGTTTCGGCTAAGGCTCAAGATGAAAAAAAGCGTTGAAACACTACAAAAACAAACAAGGAGCGTAATTTTCAATATACACATTTATTGCATTGGTTCTTGTCTGGGTTCAAACAAATTGTACCTTAAATGTTAATGAAAATGTGAAAATGTTCATTGCTCTTGTGCTGGAGATACTTATGAATTGCTTTAGTTTTATTATTAGCTCAATTTTACCATTGCTAACAGGTGCTAAGGTCTGATAAAAGGCTTCGTTTCATGGATAGGAGTCAACAAGAGAACGTGAGCGAAATAATGTCTGAACACAATTTAATAGCGTGTGTCTCTCCAATTCTCTTGAAACGAGAATTTAGAGTAAAGCGAGCTACCGGCCTTAAACCCTGTGTTAACCATTAGTTTGTTATTCGAGAATATCCAACTATGGAGCACAGGCTGAATGCTATATAATTAATGAAGAAAAATTAAAAATCGGGGAATCTTGCTACTACGGATTAACTGAACATCGATTGATAGTATCTCACACTGTCCAAACTATTTTGTGTTTTCCAAAATACCATTTACCATACTATTGTTTGTAAGAAGTAAATTGGATTTTAAATAAACGCCGCCCTCGTATAAACGTTGTACTCGAATCACGAAAAATGTAGTAAATGCCGTGACGATTGATCGAATAAATACAGTATTTCATGCAAATTAATTTGTCGCTAAATACTGACATGTTGCTTACTACAAATTGCATGTAGCTGTCAAACGTGATTCAACCAATCATCAACCAATCATCGATACAGAACTCCACCCACGTTGTTCAAGAGCTATTCCTTATTATAAGTATTCGACGCGACGTGACTGATTTAGACACTCATGGTCATGACCAAGATCAGCAGGGTTCAGTTTTCATTCTTGAGAGTGATGGATCCTGATGGTGATTTAGCGTGGGAACGCGAGTATGATACAATGTAAAGTTGCGCTTCAGTTTTTCACTTATTAAGGAGAAAAAATCTTGGCAGTTGTTTCGTGGGTAGGCATGTCTACGACATTTTGAAGGTTTTAAAAATAAAGCAAGTTTATCGTGCTTTTCAATTTTAGCTCCCAAAAATTAGTTAACCGGTTCTGCAATCGCTTGTCGGTTGAAGTAATGGGAATAAGCTTTGAAAAATCCTTGTAGAATCATTGTAAAGAGTGTTCTATCGAAATTTTATCATTTCCTCTTATCACATACTTGACTTGTGCCGAGAATACTTCCTTTGGGGCACGAGATCCTCTCTGCTACAAAGAAAAAGAAAAAAAAAACGTGTGTCAGGTACGCTCCATTGCACACATTTCAAAACAACGGTAGAAAGCTATCTGGCTCCAAACGATATATTTAAATAAGATATGGTCAGCCTTAAAAACAAACTGAATACATTGAACAGGTCTGAAATATCGAAATAAACGACTACGCATACTTAAGCTGGCTTGGTTTATTTGTGTTCATGTCACCTAACGTTCAACATGATTTATGAAATATTTGCTTAATAAAGCTTTATACATGGATTTGGAAATTTGTGTCGAAATATCTTGAAGTTACAAAAAACAGCGTAGCTCGGAGAATTTTAAAGCAACAATTGCTATGTTTTGAAAAGAGATGTAACTCATCTCATTGAAAGTTGCAAATGCTATGATTTTGCAAACAATTAATTTCACCTCCCTGGACTTTAAATATAAAACTGAACTGTACACCTCATTTGAATGAAACGAATACCTTCATTGATTTTGACAGTAATTTTCCTCATAAACTCAACGTTGATGACATAGTAAAGAAATGCCCCAAACTTTTAAGCAAACCTTAATTTCCTATGGCAAGTGCACAGACATGAGATAAAAAGTATGGTACCTCGTACCTGAGCATCAAAGCGACCGAAACGGAATATATTTAGCAGGTTTTTATCGGAATAAACGACTAAACGCATTAAGCTTGCGCGGTTTAGTTGCGTACATATTTCTCAATGTTCAGCATGATTTATGAAATATTTTCCAGTGAATCGGCCGGGTACACATGAATTCTAAAATTTGAATCGAAATATTTGAACCTTAACTGTAACGTTTAGAAGCATGCTCTGTCATGAAAATGAAGTGAAAAACTAGTTCTTCGAGAGATGATCTGTGGTCGTGTCTCGTTCAAATCAAATTCTTTCTTTTAGCCAAGATCGGTCATAACTTGATCGGACAGATTTTTCTACAATTGTCCAGTGAAATGGGTGCGATTGTTAAGAGGACTCAGCGAGAGTATATTGTAGATAGCTAAGAGAGATCTATGAAAGGTCTAATGGACCTAAGCCCATTATCCTGTATTAGCCATAATGCCAATCATAAATTTGAACAAATATTACGCTCTTTTGAGCGGTCAAACTTCAACGCGAACTTTGTCAATCCTCCATCATTAGGTATCTTTACAGACAAAAGATGTCTCGATAGAAAGCGAAAGTTACAATGAACGTATACTAAACTTACAATTATAGCATCGACCCTTCCTGTAATTACAGCAGGGAACTTGAACGCCAGCAGGCTGCAGTGATCATCAATTCTTTTCATGAGCACCTCAACGTTTACGCTTTCGTCAAATTTTCACAAACGATGGAACAAATCTAAATTTACTTTGCTTCGTTGCGTTCTTCATTTGCATTGACGAATTTGTCTATCTCATGCATAACAACCGAAGTTGATTGTGAGGGGTCTTTTTAGATAACATTCATTATTTATAGATATATTTATATAGATGATTGAACATACATTTTTGCCCTCATCCTAAAATTTCTTTACGCATGGGTTTGCAGAGCAGAGCAGAGCAAAATATATCGTTTAAAGACGGAGAGTTGTTGCTCAATTTACCCGGAAATTAAACCCAATCTTTGTTGATATTGACAAGAGACACTGAAAGCACAGATGGGAATCACAAAATGTCAAGAAGCGTGTTAAGACTGTTAACGTTGTGGATTGAAGTTACTCAGAATTTTTGAAGATAAAGAGAAGAAGCGACACGAGGGAGATAAATAGGTTTTATCCAGAGAAAATGTATGGTCGTGTTCTGTGCAAATTTTACATCATTTTGCATAGAACGTTGTTAATTTGATCGCGAAGATATTACTACACTTGACCGGTAAAATAAGTTCGACTGTCATGAGGACACAGCGAGAGTATTTTGAAGTAAGCTCGTTATTCCGTATTAATCATGGAACCAATCATAAATTCGAACTAATATTGAGATATTTCTAAAACGAGAACCTTTTCGAGACTCCATTATTTGGTATCTTAACAGACGGCAGATATGTTCCAGTAGAAAGCGAAACTTGCAATGGTCGGACTACGCTCCCAATTATTGCTCAACCCTTTTAATGTAATTACAGCCGGAAACTTAAAGGCCAGTAAGCCACAGTGGTTATCAATTCTTTTCATGAGCACGTTAGAATGTTTAGCAAAGGTGTTATTCTACTTCAACGTTTTACCCCGTGACCAAATTTTCAAACTGACAAACGATGAAATAAATCCATCTAATCGATGATTCTGCTTCACTGCGTTCTCATAAATATGTAAATAAACTCATCTAGCCACCACCATGACAAATGATTCACCAAGAAATAATCTGACAAAGTGAATGATCTCTCAGTCCTAAGATCTAGCCAAGCTGACCCTCCAAAGTTAAAATTCGCGATTCAAAAAGTGACCAGAAAGTACAGTATACAGTCCGTGAAAATCCTATTCGAAAATTTGAAATACACCAGAAGTTTTTGTTTTCGCCAGCGATCAAAGAGTTGTTACCGATGATTGACATATGCTAATATATTGCGTGCGCCTGTCGCACGTGATTCAACCAATCATGAATCGGGCTTCGTTCTATTTATACCTCTACCTTCGTCTATAGTAACAAACACGAACGACCAGCCCCAAGACCACGACCGGCAGTGATCTGTGTTCATTCTTGGGCGTCATTTTGATTGAGGTGATGGATCCTGCCAATGGTTTAGCGTCGGAACGCGGGTATGATACAAGGTAAAGTTTCGCTACAGTCATTCACTTATTTAGGAAATAGAGAATAAATACGTTGGCGCGTCAGTATATATGAAAGTTTATCTTCGAGTGTTTAACTGGATAGATTAGGAGTGAGAGCAGCGAACAAGTGAGATGTCGAGTGGAAAATGAGAAGAGAAATTTCATATCCACAAGCAACTATATGCTTGTATTATTTTGTTTATCATATAAACACAGTAGCCCTTTACTGACAAGAAAAGTCGACTTTATTGATGATTGAAAATAAAAGGGTCGACAATCATAAATTTGCTTAATTATTCCGGCCGCGAGAGACTGTCTTTTGTATCCATAAGATAACTTTGGCCTGACGTTGTCACCCGTTCTTGCATGCAATAAAGAATTTTACTGGCCGAGTCTATCCCTGTCTTCTTGAGTTCCAAGAGAAGGTGTTCCCAGATGGAGTACGTACAATAAAGAGTGAGCTTGATTATTCAAATTAGACTGAACATTTTGGTATGGCTGAACATTTTGGTATGGTAGGGCTATCGCCACGCAGGGTTTTTGGAATCGAGATACGTCTATCGAAGGCCCACTCCAACTACGGAATCTTTTAGCGGCAATAAAGAAGCATTAAGCTAACTTGACTTGTGCCGAGAATACCTCTTTTGTTGCACGAGATCCATCCTTATACAAAGAAA